CCCCCCCCGCCTCTATTTGAACTGCATTCCTAAATTTCTGAATAGGGACTGGGAGGAGAAGGAAGCTCTAAGTGTTGAGTCCGACATCTGGCGGAGTAAATTTCTAGCTTGTACTCTGATACTTGAGGAGGTGTCCAGGAGTAAACAGTACTCAGAGTCCAGGTGTAACCAGATAGAACACGCAGCCAGGTATCATTATTATTGGTGTTATTAGTCTTATTAGTGTTTTATCCGTGAACGTATATATCGGTCAATTTCAAATACGAAAATTATTAAGAACTAAATCTGTAAGATATGAAACGGTTTCACGTGTGAGAGTTCTTATTAAAATGTAAATTAAGAACAATGAGAAGAAATTGGAAAGTGATCGATTTATACATAAAATTCAATTTCTTTGGGACATTTAATGGACTGTGTAAATCCAGATTTGATTGAATTTATTATTTTATATCGTAACCTAAGATATTCCAAAATGTTCTTGATATTTATTATAATTCCTAGGCGTGTATTGTTGGAACGCAACCAGCTAAAAACCTCCTTAGCGACTACCCAGAGTATAATCAGTAAACTGAACCTATCCTTTGACCCGCTATCCCGAAGTGATCCCGTGACAAGAACCGAGGATATACTTCAGCAGGCAGAATCATTAAATAGAAGCTGTCAAGCACTTTGTGATAGACTAGTAGGTAAAGGAATAATATTGATTGGATCCGCATAAATTTAGCCCCTTGATCCGGATCCAAGTGTCAAAATTTTTAACTTAAACATAAAAAAAAACTTGTTCTCTAAACTCAAATTTTTAGTGTCAACCAACTAATTTGATATCATAGAAGGGTAAATTAAGTTCTTGCATAAAAAGTTGCGGAAACAAATAAAAAAAATTGTGAATTTTTAGGATAAAAGAAATATTCACAAGCTGTTTCCGGATCCTTTTTTACAGAAGGGATTTAGGATCAGCGTTAGAACACAAGAACACAAATAATGCCCATTTGCAATATTTCATTCAGATTCCTCAAAAAAATGGAGACAGGAGTCACAAATGTATTCAAATTGGTCAAAACCATTTCCTTTCAACTGTTAAAAAAATACATTGTTAAAAATTTCCTTATCTCTGAATGGCTCATAGAGTTTTAGCAAAAAAATGACCTGGATCCGAATCCGGATACATATTTTTATGATCTGGATCCGCATCAAAATGAAATATATCTCCAGCAATGGTTAGCGAAAGTGTTTAAAACTCAAAGATGAATGATAATATTACCTAGGTTTTGAGGTTTCAGAATCACAATTCTAATTAATGACTAAGTTATAAATTAGATACAATCATAGTTTTGTTCAACAGTTAATCTTTTTGCAGGAGAAAGTAAACCCTTGGCTGGGAATATAACTGAGACTCATACCTCCCTGGATTCTCCTGCTGAGAAGGAATTGCGTAGACTCCTGGCAACTCTGTCCTGTGCTGAGAGCAGGTTACCGGAGCAGGCCAGCTCAACCCTAACCAAGGGAGCCAGGACTCTTCTTCTCAAGATGGGAGATAAAGCACAGAGCACTGGACAGGGGGAGTTCAGTACATGCAGTCATTGTAACGGCTCCGTGCATGTAGTCTAGAATTGAGTATTTATATTTTTCATCCTTCCCCTCTTTCCCTATTTTTTGGAAAATTACGGCAAATAACGAAACTTGAATCTATTTTGGTATTTATTTTCTCAAATTTCTCAGTTTAACCCTACAAATGCGCAAAACACATTAATACAATAATGAAAATATTGACTTTTTTAAAAGGGGGGACGGGAAATTGTATGGAAGATCTTTAGATCTTTAGATCTTTGATGCTAAACCTTTTTAATTTTAGAGTTAATATATTATGATATCGGTTTGGGACTTTCATATTTATTTTTAAAATTATAGCCATTAGTATTTTTTTATTCTTTTCCGTAAAAACGCATATTTGCCATGATTTTTTTAGATTAATATCATGAATGTATTCAATTATTCTCACATGTAATATACATGTTTTAAAATATTTTAGTGAAATAATCAACTTTTATGCTAACATAAACATTAACTATACATTCCCTTGTGTTTATTCTGAAGTTCTTTTATATAACAAACTGCCGATTCTTCATTGGTTTAAAGAAAGTTAACCAATCATAGCTTGTAATGTATTTAAGTCTTTTAGAAGATACACTATTTTTTAAACCTAAATCTATTTTTTTATTTTGTTAGCTATGTGAACTTAGATACTTGAATAATTTAAATATTCTTTAACGCCATCGGTAAAAGTTTTCATAATTGTGTAATTTCAGGAGACAAATCAGTAGCAATAAGGATGATACTTCATTTATTAACTTTGATTTAATTTTGAACATGTTAAAATTTTATAATTTGTTTCAGAAATATATATATTTTATTTTCAGTTTAATTATGATTAATCTAGATTTCTTGTATTTATGATGTATTTTGCACGAGAATTTTCGATTTTTGCATATTTATATTTTCAGAGAAATGAGTGAGATATCAATTGTAAAATGTGATTCTAAGAGCGAAGAAACAGATATCGAGTATTATAATAAGGAAACCCTTCTGCTATCTTCATTCTACTACAACAGTTACAACCCCTGGCGCTCAATTATTTTTTACTCGGACATAAAGATTCTAATTTGGCTCTTGTTGGTTATTTCCTCTGATACCGAAAGTTTTGTATTGTCAATCCGTTCAGAGTCCGAATTTAATGAATTTAAGCCGCGTCTCAAATCTCCAAAAACCGGTTTCAATTGAGCGCTGGCTTAAATCTTGAATAATTTAATACAATTTTAAGTGGAACCAACCATATTTGAGCCGCGGCTCAAATTCTTTAAATTTGGCCTTTAACGCCCTATCCTCTTCTGTTGAAATTGAAGAAAAAGTGAGTCCTATTTTAAAGACAAAGCACTTAATCGTCTCAAATTTTAAGTTATCGTTGTGGCTAGTAAGTTTAGACGTTGTGGATTAGCACTATCTCATTATCCCCCCCCCCCCTTTACCGCCCAAACCACCCAAATTAGGTAGTTGAAGATAATGGTTTTGTTTAAGTTAGGCTGCAGGGTACTGGGAGAAAGTAACTCCAACCATTGATGGTATGCTAGGAGGTTTTGCTAAAATATCTCCAACAGATATTGAGGGTTCAAGTAAACTTCTCAAACAGATCTTGAAGACCGAGGAGGGACCTGGAGCTGAGAGAGCTCTGGACTGCGGAGCAGGGATTGGGCGGATTACTAAACATCTTCTTACAAGACATTTTAAAACAGTTGATCTAGGTTAGTTACAAACTAGTCTAAACTATGCTAGATTTAGTTTAGTTACAATCTAGTCTAAACTATGCTAGATTTTGTTTAGTTACAATCTGGTCTAAACTCTGCAAGATCTAGGTTGGTTACAATCTAGTCTAAACTCTGCAAGATCTAGGTTGTTTACAATCTAGTCTAAACTCTGCAAGATCTAGGTTGATTACAATCTAGTCTAGGAGGGGTATGTTCTCTTCCCAATTTAAATCTTTAATTAAAAGTGTAAGGTCTCGTTGTTTTGCTAGCTTCAATGCTCATAGTCACTTTTTAGTGAAACCACAAGTGAAAAATATCAGTTTCCATAGAGAAGATGATGGATATTCTTAAATTCTTGATAAGAATTTTGAGTAGGACAACCAACTCTTTAAAATAAAGAGCCATTTGAAATTACGTCGAATGTTCCTATAAGTATAATGATAGAATGGGTGGTATTTATTCTTCTTTATCCTAGTTGAGCAGGACGAACATTTCCTGGAGAAAGCTCGAGAATATCTGGCCGGGAACCCGAGGGTTGGAACCTTGTACTGTGCAGGATTACAGAACTTCCAGTTTAAACCGGAAACATACGACGTAATCTGGTGCCAGTGGGTTCTAGGACACCTGACAGACGATCATCTGGTAGGTTCCGGCAGAAGAGGGTGTACAAATTTCTTTCTAAATTTTTATTTATCATCCAATTTTAACATAATCACATCAGATGTATATTTTCAAGAATTCTTTTTCCTTTTTTCCTTTAAAATTCATTTACTTTTCCCTAATTCAGCAAATAAAACCCAGAAAGAAAATTTAAAATAAAAAAATTAAAGAGAAAAAACGCGTTATGAAAAAATTAGAAAAGATGAAAGATAAAAATTCAATAAATTCAAAGTTAAGAAACAAAAGTAAGAAAAGAATTCGTGTAAATGATATTGTTGGCATTGATTTAAAAATATACTATCGAGCTCCTAATCGTGAGAAAAATGTTTGTTAAGGTTTTGTTCTTCCAGCGTTGTTCCACCGCTCTCCGGGAGAATGGAATGATAGTGGTGAAGGAGAACGTATCAAGCAGTGGAAAAGTAGAAACAGATGAAGAGGATAGTTCAGTAACCAGACCTCCAACTCTTCTCAAATCTATATTCTTAAAAGCAAACCTGGAGATATACAAGGAGTTTAAACAAAACAAGTTTCCCAAAGATTTGTTCGCAGTTCACATGTTTGCTCTCAAACCTAAAAAGTTAGAATAAGCATGACGCTAAACCTTCAAGGTCGGATTGTACATATTAGGAAAGTGAGTAAAAACATTATGTTTGTTGATATTATGATATCTGCACCCTCTGAGCGAGACAAAAGAAATAGTTTGATTTTTAAGTTTTGGGAATATCCTGAGCTTAGGAATAAATGTATTCGAGGAGAGAATAAACTCCATGCCGGAGATATCATATCCTGCTCCGGAGCCTGGGACAAAGAAAAATTCTCCGTCCAGGACTATTCTTTCATAGAAAGATGGAGTGATAGCTCCTTCGGAGACAGTTTTACTCCGATTCCTCCGGATTCCTCCAACTCGGAGGTAAGAAAGGATTTACCCTGTAAGTTCTACGTGAATACTGGACAGTGTGTCGTGGAAAATTGTGTTTTCAAACATCCTGCCAATCTGCAGGAATCCAGGAGGGAATTTCTCTCCGCTAAATCTGAACGAAGGATCCGAGTACATGAGGAACAGTTCTCTGGAGCGGAACTTCAGTCCTCCTGCAAGAGAGCGGAACTGTTCAGAAGCTGGATTCTCCAGACCTACGGGAGAGAGTACCTGAGCTCCGGGACTATCCTAGATATTGCAGGAGGACGGGGGGATCTATCCTTTGAGCTCGGGGTTCAGGAGAACCTGGTCTGTGAGATCGTTGATCCTAGACCAACCAAACTCAAGAGATGGCAGGCAAACATAATCAAGAAAACAGGAAAGAGTCTCCCAGCTCATCACGCAGAATTTTTTGATCCTCAGTTCTTCAAGAAAACAAAATTAGACCCAACGAACATTCGTTTAGTTATAGGTATTATTTTGATCATTTTTCATTCTAACATCTGGGAAAAATAAATTATTTTAAGAGAGGGGGATGATTTTTCAAGAAAATAGACCACCATGTCAGTTTTCTATAGTTTTTGAAAATGAAAAATGACTATCTAGGGATGCATCCTGACGAGGCAACCGAGTCTATTGTTAATACAGCTCTTCTACACAATCTTCCTTTTGCCGTGGTTCCCTGCTGTGTATTCTCTGCTCTCTTCCCAGACCGGAAACTCAGATCCGGACTTGAACCAACCCAATACCAAGATTTTTGTACTTATCTCACGGAGAAAAGTGACAAAATAAAAACTGCACATTTACCTTATATAGGGCGCAACATGATTCTGTTTTCGCTGCCCGGTCTCTAAACATGATTTCCTACATAACCTTGAGTTCACGCCTTTTTCATTTTTTTACTCGTAATTTTTTCAGAGAAAATGTCGGAATATAATGGCTGCCATATGTATGATGAGAACGGAGAGGAGATAAACCGTCCGGCCACTGACGTCTTTGAAATTGAGGATTTTACCGCGGCCACTGAATGGGAGAATTTTATGGATCAACTCGAGAATATTTTACGCGGATGGAAGCTCTGCGGGGGCCGGAATAATACTAAACATAAAATTACATCAAGGTATAAAAACTTGTAACCAGTACTTAGGATCCGGATCCGCAAGATTTTGGCTTTCTGGAGCCGGATCCAAGGGGTAAAATATCAACCAAAAACTGAAAAAAAAAACTTTTTTACTCCTAAAACCCAAATCTGATTTTTTGAAAAAAGAGAGATTATAAAAATTTCCTCATTTCTGAATGGTTCATCAAGTTTTAGGATAAAAATAAGCGAAAAAAAATAAAACAGAAAGAACCCGTGGCAAGTAAGACATTTTGTAATATCTCTTTCAATATTAATAGCAGCCGGTTCTATTTTTGAATCTAGACTCATAAATCATAGGATCAAAATTAAATGGATCCTAAGCACTGCTTGTAACACTATTATTTTGGTTCGCAGTTCGATGAAGTTTTTGGACTAAATCTTTACTATAATCTTAAAAAACTAGAACCTTCGAGATACAGAGAAAGTTCAAAAACTTTACAACACGTCGTGCCAAAATAATAGTGTTACAGGAAATGTTAAGAAATATTTGTGTACGTATTTGTTCGGATGCAATGAATATTTCTAGATATAATAAGCTTTAAAAAAAAAATAAAGTTAATTTGAATTTTATTTTAATTTTTTTTCAATTCCAAAAATATTCTAAATGTTTTTTTGAAAAAAAAAACGTTAAACAATGAAACTTTTTAGCACCGTTATATAATGTGCAGCTAATTTATCTAGGGTCAATAAGTTATCTTATTCTATGATTGTTAAGGGTTGAGTGGAGACATGAGAGCTCTGAGTTATCATATTTAAATTTTCCTTTCTCTGTCAACTATTATAGAAGAGTTCCAGTCGGCAGCCGGGTAATTATAGGATTTTTTCACTTTAAGTTTTTTTATATAAAATGGCTGTTTTTGTTTATAAAATAGCAGTATAAAGTTTCAAGGTACAAGATGGGAGTTTCTTGAAACCCCTCTTAATTCGCAGTGCAAATCCTTAAATTAGGGTTTGTCTCAGGGTTATAATTTTCGGTCACATAATTCACGCTTTTTTTTTGTTAATAATTGATAACCACGTGTTTTTAAAATAAATGTTATATTTTTGAGGGACTATAAGCGTAATTTCATATGACACTCCATGCAAAGATAGCAATGCCCGATTCACAATAGTATTCTCAAAAGCTATGTCTGGACAAGTATGAATTAAATATCAATATTAATAATTTTAAAAACTGATTATTTTCAATTGTGGTTTCTCTGACTTGCGTTTGTCTATTGTCTACTGCAAGAAAACATATAGGAATGATCAGAATTGATTGGTACCGTTGTGAATCGGGCATGGCCATCTTTGCATAGAGGGTAAATTGAAAGTACGCTTACAGTCCCTTTAGTAATAATTGTTTAGACAACTACACCTGAACCCTCTACAGAGGGGAATTCAAATGACAGGGAAGCTTAAAATATTTTAAATCAAGGAAAGTAACAGTAGTGATTATTGCATTGTGTGTATTGAGTGTATTAACTGCGATGTTTCTTTCGACCTTCGCACGTCCACTAAACTAAACTTCTGACCTACCGGCACGTGGTTTTACTCCTAGCCGTGGCGCTCGGCTCAGAAATTTCTTGGCCGAATCTAATCTTCAAATAAATAAAATAAACAGCCGGCATAGGTCGGATATTGCAGCAGGTTAGAAGTTCAGGGAAAGCTGCGTAATGCGTATAGTCGATGTAACATTACCAAGTATTTAAAACCAAGTTCTTAAATTTATTATCAAAGCTTTGTATAAAGTACTGAGAGCTGTGTGATGGAAGATTTATCCTCCGGGTTCGGAGATTTCTCCTTCTCCGGTCCAATTCCTTCAACACTATTCGGTCTAACGTAAGAACAACAAAATATTTAATATTAAATCAGAAACATGTACTTGTCTTGTTGTTTAACTAAGCAGATTACTTTTATATCATTTTGTAGATTTTTTTCTGTAAATATTCGTATTTTTATGGAGGTCAGAGGTCTAACGGGAAATGTAAAATCATAATCTTGTATTAAAGATCGGGCTGAAAACTATTTTAAATAACTTGGTCGTTTGTTATAATATAGTTATTTTTAAAAAATTATTTCTTTTATTTAGGGAGTTTTTGGTTATTAGCCCGGGTGGAAGGGAGATCCTTGGTAATGAAACTAGAGCAGGACAGGTCAGTTATCATTTTTAACATCCCTAGTCACACAATTATTTTGCATTCCTGCTTTGGATCCATCTATACTTTTAGTGAAAATAAGCTTAATAGTCCCGGTTTGCGCTGGGTCAAAAGCTTAAGTCAGATCAAGAGCTGACATGGTTTTTAGAATGTGTTTAGATATTTTTACTGATGTTTCAACGTCTCAACTTTTTCAACAAATATGATATTTTTTCTAGATTGTTTGTCGGCAATTTCTTCGAGCAGCAACAACAAATATATTAATTTTTCTTCAGATTGTTGGTGCTGTTAATGTCGCTTTGCATAATACTGGCTGCCCAGTTCCTGTACTTATACAGGTACAGTGCAGTACATCAAAGTTCATGTAGTACAGTTCAATTTAGGACATTTCAAGAAAGTACAGTAAGTTCGGTACAGTACAGTACAGTACAGTTATGAATTCGCTGTACCAATTTCTTCGTTTAGACTAATTCATATTAAATAAAAGATATTTTTTCTTCAAATTCTTCACACCACTTATTATTTCAGGTTATGGAGCCGAGTAAAAATCTTTATGTTGGGACTGCTATTTCAAAAAACTGCAGGAAATTCCGAGAGAACTTACAGTTAATAATCTTGCATACAGTTGCTTATGTCAAAGACTAATTTGATTCATCTATATTGATATTTATTAATGATATTCAACCCGGAGTTTTCCATAGAACCGAGTTTTCCAGCGTCTTGTTGAATAGACGACCTGGTCACGTGACTCATTTGACCGGCCTGCTCCAGCTGTTTAAAAACCGAATATCTAACCCACTTCCCGTAGAAATCAGTCATGTCACATGCAGTGTCAGATTCAGCTACGAACTAGAGGGAGGAAGCATTTCATTTTTGTGCTTGATATTTTTTACAACAAAAATTTAATTGGATTGTCTAACTATAAATGGTTTAGATGGATTTAGTCAATGTTTAAATATTCACCTTATAATGTTGAAAAAATCAACAAATCAAAAATTTAAGCATCCATGAAAGACAAAAAATCAATGTTAATTGGAGGTGGTCTGAAATGTCAAATAAAATTATTTTGTTATGGAATAATGTTCCGATGTGTCAGGACTGGGCGGAATACTACTGGAGTATATCTCCTCCGGACCTGGATCTCTACTCCGTATCCGGAGATACAGATTTCATCCAGCTCCGGGAACTTCAATTTGGATGCGTCTCCGATCCCGTAGCCGGGCTCAACCTTCACACTACCTGGAGAGACCTTAGGTACCCGCTAACTGGAACTTCATTGAAGAGAAAAAAATTGATCAAAAATGTGAAGCTTAAATTTCATAAGGATAAAAAAAAGAATAAAGTAATAACATTAGCTAAATTCAGAAAAAGGCTACTTTTTTCATTATAAAAGACTCTATGCAATTATAATAGAAATATAAATAGATAGAAAAACTTGTACAATTAAATAGACAGTTGTTGTTGACATTTAAGTGAGGAGTTGATCGTGGATAACTCAGTTCATTCTGATCTGGATCCTCTTGAGGCCCCGGAATGGTCAATATCTATCGCTATGCAGGTTAATCTTAAATTTACTCACAATCCCTTCTTTTTCATGCAATGATCTCTGCCTGTCAAGCTAATTCCTCTTTTTTGTTTTAAATAAAAATGATGATTGATTAGTAAAGCCATTTTCGAGTTATAAAGTAGTCTTCAGTAATACGCTAATAAACCAGACTTTATTGAAGATAATCTCTGAACATTGCAAAGTTTTCTGAATTTGGAGAATTTTATTTGGTCAAAAACGACCTAATTGTCAATGGTTTGATATTTATTACGTTAAATATTGATTAAGATAAGATAAGATAAAGTTTATTGCTAAAATACATGTATCTGTGTACAGAACGAGTTTACTATTACAAATTGATGATTATATTAACAGTACAAGTATAAAGCAATTAGGTGGAAAATAGCTCTTGGATTGGTGAATTGTGTGCTCTTATTTATTTGATAAATTTATTTCAGGATAAACCTGAATGTTTACTGGCTAAGCATGTAGCAGCAGTACTTGAGTTGGGACATGATACAAGATCAGTCAAGAACCTTCTCGGAGATATGATGGAGAGTTCAGAGTCCAACGCGGAGAATGTATCCGGTCTGTTCGATAAACTGTCTGGTGCTCAAGTGCCTAGTGTATCTTCATATTCGTTAACAGATCTAGCGAAGCAAGTTCGACCTCTGAGGAATAGAACCCCGACCGGAGGCCCTCTTCATCAGAACATTCTAAAATTTGTTTTATCCTACCTTTTCCCAGATGCGGACGAATCATCAAAATATCCCTACTCCGATACTCACCCTGAGTTAACGACAGACCATCTAAAGGAGCATTATCCTAATATTAAAAGTTGTCCTTTTGATGGTTTATGTTGGAGATTAAGTACGACAGTTGCCTGCTGCTTGGGTTGGGCAGGAGTTGCAGGAGTAGCTCATCTCCTTCATGAGTTTTGTCTGGAGTTGAGATACAGATGGGAGAACGGAATTCTTCTCCCAGGTATTCCTCCAGGTCCTCCGGATACAGGAACAGCTCTTCTCAACCAGAAGCTACAGATGCTGAACTGCTGTATAGGACGGAGGAGGAGCACTGGCAATATTACTCCTGAACCTATGGAAACGGAGAAGGAACCCAGCAGTGATACTGACTACGAGGAGGAGTTTTTCGAGTGCGAGGAGGAGGAGGAAGAGAAGAAGGAGAAACCATCAAATTCGCTCCCGGTCTGGGAGACTGCTGAAGGAAGAGAAGACAGGGTTGGAATATTGAGACTACTAAATGATGAGGACTGGTTGTATCGACCTGTTCTCCAGGAACCTGGTCCACTCACCGAGGAGCAACTGGCAGAGCAGGAAGAGGTTCTCATGCAGCTTGGTAGTGATCAGGCTGGGAGCGAGGTCAGAGCTAAACTTCAGTCTGCAAACCTTCTCTCTGATATGGAGAGTTTCAAGGCTGCTAATCCAGGTTGTAGTTTGGCGGATTTTGTAAGATGGCATAGTCCGCGGGACTGGGAGGACGGAGAAGGACTCTCAGCCAGGATGAAACAATCTGGGAATATGTGGACAGATCTCTGGGAACAGGTCAGTAAATAATTGGTATGACCTTAGAGATAAGGTATAGGGTTGAAATGAATGTTCTTAGCCCAATTTTCCATGGCCAGCTCAAGGGAAAAAAATTAGACCGATAACTTTAATAGTTTGGGTGCTAGGGAGGGTGAAAAAATGCCTAAAAAGCTAAAAAAAAAAATGAAAATAATTTTTTTTTGTTTTAAACAAATATCGAAGTGTGACACATGTTTCTTCATGCATTTTTAAAGTACCGTGCATGTGTGTATACTGTACACTAGTGTGTAATATTCTTATGTCGAAAGATTATATAAAAAAGGGATATTGGGAATCAAGGAATTCTTAATAAATTTGTTATATCGATATGACGAAGCTCTTCGCTCATATTTGGACGTAGGTGACAAAATAAAAAAAATCGAAACATTTTTTTAATTCGAAAAACTCTGGGTTTTTTATTCCAATTTTATTTTCCATCAATTATTAAATCTTTCCAGAAATTTCAAAGCTTTGCTTGGAATAAATGTAAAATATGATTTTAACTTGTAATTACATTTTGAACATTCAACAAACTTTCGGTACTGAAAGGACCATTATTATTATTATTATTATTACACTTTTTTCCTTAACAACAAAAAACATTAAAAAAAAACTATAAAGATAACCTGTGGGTAATTGCATTCTAGGATATTTAAAATTTATTTATGTTTTGAATAACCAGTTCCAATATTAGGGTTCTACAATGTCCTGAGTCCGCTGCACTTCCAGATATTCATCATAAAGAGACAGCCTCTAGGATCTGCTCTATGTCCAAACTACTCTGTCTTCCAGAGGTTAGCTTTATCATTATTGATGTTTTTCACAGTTATACATATTATGCTGCATCAACTATTGAGACTCTTTCCATCCTACTTGTACTTTGTAGTATTTTGTAGGTTCCATAGCTTCTGGTTGTAGATGTAAATTAATGTATATAGTTAGTGGTTGGTTTTGCATGGTTTACTGCTACTTATTGTTCAATATATGTGAGAAATTGCTGCATTTACAATCTACATTGAACATGTTTTCAAAATATTAAATCTTCTGAGCTGGGAACTTTCAAATTGGATACCCTTAATTCCGATCGCTTTATCTGAATATCATGTAGACACTTTTTTTTAACTTTAATAATTCATTTTAATTAAATTTTACAATATTTTTAAATTTCAGTATGATATTAGATGGAAACATTTTGAGACCTCTATATTTCTTGATTTTCATTCTTTCTTCTTGATCGTCCATTCCTTGTCCATCCTTCAATCATACTTTGGCTAATTTTGAAAATAAGAATAAATTACACTTATCAGGATACAAACTAAAGATTATCAGGATACAAACTAAAGATTATCAGGATACAAACAAAAGATTAAATTAATATTGTATTTATAAAAAGAGGAGATTGTGGCGCCCCTGTTGGATTCCTGGAATGCAGTACACAGCATGCTCCATACTTCATATGTATTTTCTTGTATAAATACTTTGTTAGATAAATAGATATTCAGTTAGCTTTGACTACTCATTCTTACTTATTCATGTTTATTAGCACCCCACTAAAAGATCAAGCATTGACTTCCATAAACACAATTTTAAAGTTTTCAGCTCTGGTGTAATATTTTAGTTGTTGAATATTGTAGGTGAAGCACTATCGTGGAAATATAAATCTCGAGGATTTCTGTGCCCGGGACAAGGACGGATGGAAAGCTCTGGAACTCCTCACTACAGCAGAACTAGGAATATCCAGACTTCTCTCTCTCCGGAGAAAATTCCAGTACGATCTGACCGTGGCGGAGGGGGCGGAAAAGCAGGACGCTATGGAGGAGATGGAGAGGTTTATCCAGAGTTTATGTAGATGTGGAGAGGTAAGGGTACCCGGAGCAGCTAGAGGTCCGGCAGGACGGTTAATTCAAGCTCTTTTCCGGGAGAGTAATCAGATAAATCATCCTCGACCTTCAGGTCTTCCTCCTCCCGTCGTTAAACAGTTTACTCTCAGGGAGGTTTAGCATCAGATGCATTTTTTTATAAAAACATTTTTTTATTTTTTACAAAATTAAATTCAACTAGATAGATTCCATTTCAGGCAAATTATTTATTAAAACTAAAATTAATAACGATTTAAAAACCGGTCTTGTATCACTATAATCTCCATAGGAGGGGCTTATTCATTTAGTGTTCTGTCAAGTTTTGCCTTGTATAGTCTGTAGATGTACTATACACATCGCTCTAGCTGCTTAAAAGTTGGCCCGGAACTTGAACAGTAGTTTACAGTACTATAAGACATAGACCAAAATTTATTCTTAAAACAATAACGATATAATTTTCCTGTTTTCCCTGTATCTAATATTGTAACGATGTTGAACCTGGTTTAGATGTGTATCTGGGAGACCTCTTCCCTCCTCCCGTCCTACTCCGCAGCGTCTTTATGCAAGGTTCAGCTCCGGAGAGTTTAGACTCACTGGAGCTTACACTCTGGATAGACAATATTTATAATCAATTCTAACCATCTTAATCCAAGTTTCATTCAGAATGCTTAAAAGACTGGTCGCAAAAAAGGTATGGGATAAATCCTGATAAAAATAAGTTTTTATTTATATCCATTTTTTGTCAAGAGAAATTTAAATAATCTTTCTTATCTTTACGGACACCTAACCAACATCTCTCATAAGAGAGAACTTGATTTGTCCCTCTGCGAGTCTGCATAGACATCAGGTTGAACTGAAAAAGAATCCATTAAATTATGTTTTAGCCAAATTTTTGCGATCAATATATTTTATTTTAGTATTAATTATCTTTTACTTTTAATATATATCCTTAATTGAATTTCATGATCTTCCTACAACTAAAATATAGAATTTATGTGATAAATATGTGATCTTTAATTTCCTAGTATATATTAACGTAATTTGTAATGTCTTTCTTATTATGTCTAAAACTTTAAAGATTAAAATATTTCTCAACTTTGCATTTGAAAATATGTAGATGTATGGTTGAGGGTGTAGGGTGAACTTTGCTCTGCGTGTATGCAGACAGTCAATGTTGTTTATTGAGGTTAGATACACGGGATGCGCTCCAATGTTCGAACAATTTCGTGTCCACAGCAATGGACAGTTAAAACCTCATATGACGTAACTGAGTATTGGCGGAAGTTGAAGTGACAACGTTGCTGGAGTCCATTGCTATGAAGACGACATTGCATGTACATTGGAGCACATCTAGAGTATCTAACCATAATAAACAGCCTTGGTAGACAGTATACAGGGTACTGAGTATACCTAGTTGATATCTGATCTGATTCCTAGGATTAATTATGATAAGGTTCAGGTTCCCAGGACGTATCCAGGGTGGGGTCAGGACCCTACAATATTTTCTAGGTTAAGAAAACGTCCGAACCTTCGTATCTGTCAATTCTTAATCATGCAAAGCAGCGGGCTCTATACCGTGCATGTGTGTATACTGTACACTAGTGTGTACAGTGTACACGTAAATTGTACTTCACAGTTATGTACTAATACTTTATTTTTATTTTAATATTCTCGCTGGAGTATAAGTATGACTCATAAACCAAAAAATTACATTTTCAAATTATACAGAAATCAGAAATACTTTCGCCTTTTTATGCTGCGTCAAAGTTCTTAATGAAATGAATTATTTAGATTTCATTCAATTCTTTTTCTAAAATTGCTTTACAGTCAAATATATATTCTATTTAAGTATGAAACAATAATTATTAAATATTTCAGAAAATTAAACAATGTCGCTGGAGAACAAACTTCAAGAGGTATGCTCGTACAATTACAGATTGAAGGGACTGTTAATGGAATTTCAAGTGACCACCCATGCAAAGATGGCAATGTCCGATTTGCAACGGTACCTCTTAAAGCTTTGTCTGATAAAGTATGAATCCATGTTTTTTTTTCTTCTCCAACCTGTATTTTGTTGCGTGTTTCCTTTGAGAATGACTTGCGCATTTCTTGCTTATAAGAATCAATGGAGAACTCGTCAGAATTAAACACTTTTTGAGTAAAAACAATGGTATCTTCCACATTTTTGATCAGTTTAAGGTTTCAAGTGTACCTTTGTAAAGAGGACATTGCCGTTTTTGCGTCACATGAAATTACGCTTATAGTTTTCTGTATTTCTAACCTAATTTTTACTGTGAGATTAAGATGTCTTTTTAAACTTTTATTTGTCAACTTTACTTCTAAATATTTGTATATTTTTTATCATCATTGAACCTCCCTTTGTTCTTTTTACTTTTTGAGTTTTTTATCTGCTTTGATATTGAATAAAAGACTGTTAAAACGCTTCAAACCATTTTATGTCTAGATAGCTTTTGCCTTTATCGTTTATTATTAAATTCATTTACATTCACCCTATTCCCGTACTGAATCTCCTCTAATTTTTATCTTTCAATACAGAGAATTTAGACTCTTTATACAAAAATGTAATTTTAAAATATCACATTTGAAAGCTCTTTTAGATGAAAAAGAAAACTTACCTTCATATACAATACATGCGATATTTTGTGCAACTATCATTTTTAAACATAGTTCAAACTGAAGACCCTCCATTTGTATCATGTCCGATTCACATCGGTACCCTTAAACCTTTTCCTGATCAAGGACTCACATCTGTATCCTTAAACCTTTGTCTGATCAAGGATTCACATCTGTACCCTTAAACCTTTTCCTGATCAAGGATTCACATCTGTATCCTTAAACCTTTGTCTGATCAAGGATTCACATCTGTACCCTTAAACCTTTTCCTGATCAAGGATTCACATCTGTACCCTTAAACCTTTGTCTGATCAAGGATTCACATCGGTATCCTTAAACCTTTGTCTGATTAAGGATTCACATCGGTACCCTTAAACCTTTGTCTGATCAAGGATTCACATCGATATCCTTAAACCTTTGTCTGATTAAGGATTCGCATCGGTATCCTTAAACCTTTGTCTGATCAAGGATTCACATCGATATCCTTAAACCTTTGTCTGATCAAGGATAAATTGAAATTATGTTTATAATCCTTTTAATTTAAATGTGTTCTGTCCAGGTTGAGTCTGATATCTCCGAGCTTAAATCCTTACTGGAGAAGGCAACCAGGCATAAGGTAGGAATATACGGCGCTAATATCACATTTTCTAATTGAATTAGATAATCACAAAAATCCGCACAAAAGAGTGGAAATTTGCAATAAATGTTATAACCAATTGGTACTGTTTTGACTTCAAAAATTCAAATAATTGGCCAACATTTTTTGTTATATTTCATTTAATTTTTAAAGATCTTTATAAGATTTTGGAAAACAATAGAATAAAGATTTTTTAATAATTTTTCGAAAAACTCAATTTTTTGGAACAAATTTGGTTTCGCGGATTATTTTTTTAACGTTCCAAAAATATTTTGAAATTTTTTATCACATTTAATTTTTTTATCCCTAAATTACAAACAAAACAAAAAGTTTGAAAAATTTGTCATAAACATCGATAATCCATTTTCTTACTCATCCTGTATCATCCTGTATACTTTTTAATATTTATTGTTAATTACTATTATTATTCTTCTTAAAATTATACACCTAGGTGAAGGAGTTGCTTTCTGCAGATGTTGGTCGTCTTGAGACTGATCAGCGCAAGTACGTTCTTTATAATAATTTGAAATTTTCCCGGTTAAAAGAAAGTATACACGAAAAAATATAATATGGATCTGGTTCAGTTTGTGATTTCGTAATGCGACATTAATAAAACGCCTTTCCCTTAGGTGTAAATACCGGGTTAAAATTGCACTTAAAGGGACTGTAAAGGAAAAATGAATGGGGGTTTAGGCTGAAACCTGAGAATCTCTTCTATCTGATGTTCCTGTCTCGAGAAATTGATATAACACTGTGTCAAAATTATACCAAAACGTATATATGTAAGATTTTGTATAAGATTCGTAGAATTAAACATATAATTTTCAACAAATACGCAACCAATTTGAAAACAACAATATCCCAGAGGATCCTGAGAAACTCAGGTTTGCTCCTTTTATTATTAAAATTTAATAATTTTTCATTTTGATAGATATAATTAATATCATTATTTACACGTCCAGATTATTTGACCAGAACTCCAACCAATGGCAGTGCAGTGTTCCGTCAGTATCACATGACCAGTATACTGCATTGCTATTGGAGGGAGTTCTGGCCACATGAAACGTACTTTTATCTTACATATTTACGTTTTGGTGTAATTTTGACACAGTTTTGTGTCAATTTTTCGAGACAGGAACATCAGAAAGGTGTCTTTAAGGTCTTGATCAACTCCTGAGCTTTTCAGGTTTCAGCCTATACCCCTTTAATTTTTCCTTCACAGTCCCTTTAAAGGGATTGTGAACGTAATTTCAAGAGATTCTTTAAGTGTCAAATTCACAAAGTTACCTTTAAAAGCTTTGTCCAATCAAGTATGAGTCCGATATCCATGTTTTTGTTTCTAAAACCCTAATCAATTAAGAAATTAGCATAATATGCACTTCAACCTAAAAAAAACACTATTGATCAGATTATTGCAGTTTTAATGGTACTGTTGTATATCGGGCATGCACCTCTTTCTTAAATAAGGGTTACTTGAAACAAAAACATCAGTCCTTTTAAAACAGATTTTTGTTAATTACTTGAAACAAAAACATCAGCCCTTTTAAAACAGATTTTTGTTAATTACTTGAAACAAAAACATCAGCCCTTTTAAAACAGATTTTTGTTAATTACTTGAAACAAAAACATCAGCCCTTTTAAAACAGATTTTTGTTAATTACTTGAAACAAAAACATCAGCCCTTATAAAACAGATTTTTGTTAATTACTTGAAACAAAAACATCAGCCCTTTTAAAACAGATTTTTGTTAATTACTTGAAACAAAAACATCAGCCCTTTTAAAACAGATTTTTGTTAAAAATGTTTTTTATCATCGAAAGTTTTAGAATTTGATTCTTTTCACTTTGATCAAAAAAGATAAAAAATTTATGTAATATAATTTTAGAAAAATCTTGATTTCTTTTATGATAATATTTTTACGTAATATCATGACAAACCTATTTTTTTCATTGTTTTTAGTTTGAAAGCTGAGATTAAGAAAGCTGAGGCTAGAATTCAGGAACCAGTGTTGATAACAATAATAATAATAATTAATCAATAAACAAATTTTGAATAAAAAGACATTTTAATTTTATAGATGGCCATTAGGTGTGAGACAATTTTCTGAAATCATCTTCCAAAATAGAATTCTTGTAGGAATTCTAATACATTTTTTCACAAATTAAAACCGGGGTTTCTTATAAATAGAAATGAAAAAAATCACTGGTAAAATTGTAAATAAAAAGTTTTAAGTGCAATAAGTAATTTTTTTTATAATTGCTTTAATATTGGTAATATCTGGGTGAGAAGGAGAATAAAGCAAAAACCTGCCCAGAAATACAGATCAAAGATTACTGTAAGTATGACCATAGGTTTATACAGGAACTAATTATTTACCTCAAACTTTAGGTTTATAATTTTTATATCCGTGCAAATTGATGTCGTAGACCTTTGCTATTTCAAATACGAATTTTTATAGATCATGAAAAATTAAGTTTTAAATTCGTTTACACAATGAGTTGCAAAGATATAGGGTTTTGAAATAAATGTTGAAGCAAGCGTTCAGTTTCTTTGTTAATTAGGACAAATCCTGATATTTTTTAGTTTCATAATCCCAGGGATTTAAATTTGACATAAAACCGGTTGACAATTTCTTCATATTCAATAGTTAACGTTTTTTTTGAGAATGCAAATCCGGATCTCTTTTGTCCGTATCTGTAGTATTGTTGTTTTTTCGAAGATCGCAACCTTTTTTAGTTTTATTCCCTTCAAAGATCACTAATCCATATCTTTTCAAAGATTGCTAATACATAACTTTTGTGGTACAAAATTTCAATAATGAGATATTGCGAAATATGAGTATGTAGTTTATCGCTTGAAATGATAAATATCTGCTGTTCAGCTTGATATCGTGTCTAAAAGTTCCGACCTAAAGTTCAAGTTTTCCCCTGTTGCAGCTTGGGATCAGAGTGAAAAGTTCGTAAAACTTTATCTGACTGGACTACAAGGATTGGGAGAGCTGAACCCGGAGAATATCAAGGTCTCGTACACGGAGCAGTCACTAACTGTTAGGTAGGAACAATTTAAATTATACATTTCTAGAATACATTTATCCTAGAATCTAACAATATCATATTTAACTATATTTCTAATTCAAGTTCTTGATACAGTAATAAACATAAAACAGTGGAATGATGGCATCGTCTATCTTTTGTATTTTCTAATTGTAAATTCTTCATTTCTTCAGACATCCCCTGATGTTGGAGTATACGTCAGCAATAACAATTACGGGTCAATTTGTTTGAGGTTTTCCTTTAAAAATCATGCAAATTATTTTCTTGTATTTTTATTATTTTGCATATAGCTAGCATGTAATGAGAAAACAGTAAATCAAAAATTTCCGACTCCTGTCACTTGTTTATGAGCTACGTCCTCCGAAAGTTTTGGCCAATGGGCCGAAAATAGCCTCGAGGCCAGAATACATGCACCTTAGATTTTTAATTTAATGTTTTCTCATAATATCCAACTGTGTGCAAAATCTTAATAAAACATATGGCATTGACTTCCACGAGGTGGCTGACTTGATAAAGAATGACCCTGACAAATCACAAGAACAATGACGATATTAAATTAAATGGGTTTTTCAGGATTGAAAGTTTGAACGGGAAAACTCCGCTGTTCAGCATCAACAAAACCTGTCACAAAATATCTCCAGATAAATCCTATTTCAAGGTATGAAGCAAATACCAAACCATACTGTCATACATACTTAACAGTATACAATATACCATACCATACCGTACTATACAAGTATACAATACCATACCTTACTATACAAGTATACAATACCATACCGTACTATACAAGTATACAATACCATACCGTACTATACAAGTATACAATACCATTCCGTACTATACAAGTATACAATACCATACCGTACTAGTGTTGGGCAATTAATTTCGTTCGTTTTTTATGTTTTTGGACTTTAAAAAAGGTTCTTCTATAAGTCCAAAAACCTTGAAAGTCTTAAAAACAAACAAAACCAAATGCCCAAAATTATACCGTACACTACAATACTGCCAATTTTTCCGTACAATACCTTTATGTCGAGTTATACTATGACCTACCATTGCATGATTACCATTAACACACCATTTAACGCCATGCCACACCATACCCTCACCATACCGTACAATTGAATAATGCAATACCATACCATTCAATACCACACAATACCATATCATACCATTTAAATACAATTAGTGCTTGGAAATAGCGTTGTTTTTGTTACTTTTAAGGTTTTATGACTTATTTTTTTAAGTTCCATGAAAATATTTCCAAACTGTATTCGGTAAAAATAATTGCGTCTTGTGTTAGGGTTAAATGTTGCATAAGGCCAAAAAAATATAATTTATAAAATAGATTTTTTTTATGATTTCAAATTTATCAGAACTATCTTGAGTTCCAAAAACTAACCTTGAGTCTCCTTTCCAACACTAAATATTTTTTTGACTTTAATAATTTATTTTAATTAAATTTTACAATATTTTTAAACATCAATATGATATCAGATGGAAACATTTTGAGACTTCTATATTTCTTGTTTTTCATTCTTTCTTCTTCCAACACTAAATATAATACAATATCAACCAAGTTTAATAATCAATGTATGCCTAGATAAAATCAGATTATCTGCTCGTGTTCCTGAGCAAGCATAACCCAGGCAGTAGTTGGTCTCATATCACCTACGCGGAGAAGGTAATTCATGGCCTTTTTAAAATATAGCTTCATATATTAACTTTCGTAACTTCCATCTGTATATTTTTTTATCTTGTCTGAGCAATATTTAGAAATTATCTAATGATTTCTAGTCATGCCTAAATGCAGAGCCATTTAAATTATATTATAATGTAGATAATTGAAATGATTAGAAAGTACGGAAAGCACAATGTCTGATGTCCGCTGTATTGGTTTAACTTAATCTACTTCAAACGAACCTTATCCTTAAAGATTATAAGGTTTATAATGATAAAAAAAAAAAATTTTAAAAAACCATAATTAAGGCAATAAAGAACAATACTGATTTTGATTTTGATCTTGATGTTTTTCAGTGTGCTGCAGACGCTAAGAAGAGCAGTGAAGGGTTCAATGATAAAGAGGATCCTAGCGCAGGACTTATGAACGTAAGTATTTTGGATAAAAGGAATTAATTAAAAAATTATTTTTCTCTTAAAATGTCGGCTTATTTTCTAACAATTTTAATGAGGTTTCCGAAAGTCCTGATTTGTCTGAATCTGGACAAAAAATGGGTTTCCGTTAATTTCTTCACTATGTTGTGTAGCAACTATTCGAAGTGACCCTCTATTAACATGCTAGACTCACACAGGTGGCATTTATATAGATGTCTGAGCTAATATCCTCGCTTTTATTCTGATCCAGGAGAACCTAAATTCAGATCCAGGGTAACCTGGATTCATAGGATTGTATCTACAAAACTAACTGATCTAATTCAGTAAACTGGGTTTCATAGGATTGTATCTACAAAACTACCTGATCCAATTCAGTAAACTGGGTTTCATAGGATTGTATCTACAAAACTACCTGATCCCATTCAGTAAACTGGGTTTCATAGGATTGTATCTACAAAACTACCTGATCTAATTCAGTAAACTGGGTTTAATAGGATTGTATCTACAAAACTACCTGATCTAATTCAGTAAACTGGGTTTCATAGGATTGTATCTACCAAACTACCTGATCCAATTTAGTAAACTGGGTTTCATAGGATTGTATCCACAAAACTACCTGATTCAATTCAGTAAACTGGGTTTCATAGGATTGTATCTACAAAACTACCTGATTCGATTCAGTAAACTGGGTTTCATAGGATTGTATCTACAAAACTACCTGAAGGTCCAGGAGAATCTGGATTCATATCCAGGATAAAAAAGATTCAGATCCAGGAGAATCTGGATTCAGGTCTAGGAGAAACTAGATTCAGGTCCAGGAGAATCTGGATTCTGATCCAGGAGAACCTAAATTCAGATCCAGGAGAATCTGGATTCAGGTCTAGGAGAAGCTAGATTTAAGTCCAGGAGAATCTGGATTTCGATTCATAAGAAACTAGATTCAGGTCCAGGAGAATCTGGATTCTGATCCAGGAGAACCTAAATTCAGATCCAGGGTAACCTGGATTCAGGTCCAGGAGAATCTGGATTCATATCCAGGAGAATCTGGATTCAGATCCAGGAGAATCTGGATTCAGATCCAGGATAAAAAAGATTCAGATCCAGGAGAATCTGGATTCAGGTCTAGGAGAATCTGGATTCAGGTCTAGGAGAAACTAGATTCAGGTCCAGGAGAATCTGGATTCAGGTCCAGGAGAATCTGGATTCAGGTCCAAGAAAAATTAGATTCAGGTCCAGGAGAATCTGGATTTAGATCCAGGTAAACCTGAATTCAGATCCAGGAGAATCTGGGTTTAGATCCAGGAGAACCTGGGTTCTGGTCCAGGAGAACCTGGGTTCTGGTCCAGGAGAACCTGGATTCAGATCCAGGAGGACGTGGATTCAGATCCATGAGAATCTAGATTCTGATCCAGGAGAATCTGGATTCTGATCTGGAAGAACCTGGGTTCTGTTCCAGGAAAACCTGGATTAGGATCCAGAAAAACCAGGATTCAGATCCAGGAAAACCTGGATTCAGATCCAGGAGGACCTAAATTTAGATTCAGGAAAATCGAATTCAGATCCAGGAAAGTCCGGATTCAGATCCATGAGAACCTGGATCAGACTCGGGAGATCCTGGATTCAGATCCAGGAAGAACCTGGATTAAGATCCTGGAGAACCTAGATACAGACAAGTGTGAACATACTGGTTTAGATCAAGAATTGAAGAATGAGCACCTTAGTAAGTTTGTATATATTCTAGATGATGAAGAAGATGTACAATGAAGGAGATGATGAAATGAAAAGAACCATTGCCAAGGTAGAATTCTATATACAGGGTTTAGAGACGACTGTACGCAGTTTAAACTGACCGTTTCCTTATATTCATGATTCCCTCCAGCTGTAAATTTGTTGCTTTTTTCGCCACATCATTAATAAGTCATAAAAAGACTACATTAAGGGCAGAGAACTTAATCTAAGTTAAAAGTTCGTAAAACTGTATCTGACTGGACTAAAAGCATTGGGAGAGCTGAACCCGGAGAATATCAAGGTCTCGTACACGGAGCAGTCACTAACTGTTAGGTAGGAACAATTTAAATTATACATTTCTAGAATTTCTTTTTCTTTTAGTTACTACAATAAAAATAAAAAAATGTTAAGTTGGCGGGTACGTTGAAAGCTGGTTTCTGTTTCTTGGAAAAACTATAAACATTAGCTTTTTTCTTGATTCTCTCCATGCCCATTCCTGTTCTTTAATTATGAAAAAGAATTTTTTAGATACATCTATTTCATAATATCGTCATTGGTCACCATGGACTAATCAGGGCGAGATGCATTCGTTTTCTTCTTTTTTAATTCAAACGTGATTTGATCTAAAACTCAACAATCTGCAAACTTAAGGAGTAGCCTTTTCAGTACGTTTTCATTTAAAACATATTTACCGACAACAAAAAAAATGGAGAGAAGTTTATGTTTATTAGGTCAAATTGTGATCAATAGTCACAACTTTCTGTGATATGGAACGAACTGTTACATCCACGTGTTGGAACTCAGTTATCCACATATTCAATATCCCTTTTTAATCCTTTTTTACCATTAATCTTAATTATTCATTGAAGCCATGCCATCTTGAATTAGAAATATATACAATATATTCCAAGTTTCATCATTTAGTTCTGTTAACACTCGTCCAGCTGTCAAATAAATATAAATAATGATATGTCGTGAGCTTCTACTCGACTCAAGCAAATTGGAAATATTTCTAAAACATTCAAAATTAAGACTACAAAAAAAACGCAATTTTTAAATAAATAACCTATGGCTACAAATTTGTTTCATCAATTTTAAAAAACTTGTTTTTTTTTCTAGGCTTGGACTGAAGGACAGGGAAAGAGGGGTGGAGGAATGCCAGATCTAGATTTTTAAACATGCTTTTTAATATTTCTAAAGTGGAAACCTAAAAACACACTCCATTTTGTAAATTAGTGCAAAGTCATGGTTTAAGCGTGTCTAATATTCTTTTAGAATATATTGCTTTTAAGAAACGGTATTTAGCATGTAAATTCTTATTCCATCCCGTGAATTGTATTTTTGTGATTTTTTTAATAAACATTTTTTAATACATATATCTGTTTACGTTGAATATTAACATACTACACAGAAAGTAAAACATATATTTCAACCCTTTTTAATTGATTAAATTAAGATGGCTAATTCTAAATGCATTTAAAGAAATGTTTTTATTTGTATTTTGTACATCAAAGCGGGTTAAAAACTTAGATAATGATTAGTGCGATTTTAAAGAAATACATTGCCATTTCAGTTTTGAGGCATTATTGAAAAATATTAACGTTATGAAAGTAAATGATACTATCCACTATTTATAGGGCGATAAAAATTGTAAGTATGAAGTGTACAAGTAAGGCCTAGGTCATATATTGAATGGATTCTATTTTATCTATGTTCATTCTCAATTTCCACTCAACGGAGATTATCGAACAAAATTAGTTTTTTTAACATTTAAGCTCACTCGAATATCTTTGAGTCAGGCGGTCCTAAGTTTGAAATTTAAGTACTTTTTTCAAACAAGTGAACAATCTGTTTATTGAATAATGTTTATTTTAAAGCTTGTCGATGTTCATATGCTGAATATATGGTTGTGAGATTATGGTAATGACTATTGAATACATAAAATGTTTTTAAAATGAAAATGCAGAGGCGGATTGATTTCATGTTATCAGACAGTCTTAAGATTCTAAATACATGCACCATGAAAACGCAAGCTGCATGCTGCACATCAGGCAGACTTGTTATGCACAGTGCAAATACGTTTTTAGAATATTCGAGATTTTATCAAATAATTTTAAATGAGCAAAAATGTTAATAAGAAAAGTATTATTGATTGTAACTTAGAATCGAGGTACTCAAGGAAAGTTATTTCAGAGGTGTACGCATTTTGCACTGCTGTGTACTGTCTTTGGGTGGAAAAGTAAACACAAGACGGATGTCACAGTCTAACATGGAATCCATTTTCACAAAAATAATCTAT